ACCTAGACTAACCTCTTCCCATTAAACACTTTACCCTTCAACATCCAAAGCCTTCCTAAGCCACTAGAACCGATAGTGTACATGTAACAGGCCATGTTAGGGGGTCGTGTTTAAGTAAATTTGGGCCAAATATTTCCTAGTAGTAATTATTGGCCGATCATGTAAATCTAGATGGCCATGGACCAGGATGGAGAGCAGTGCCAGCACATGATCCTATTGTTCAAGATGCAGCAAATCATGTTGTGAAGACTATCCAACAGAGGTCAAACTTGCTGGCCCCTTAAAAACTGCTGGAGGTCCTTCATGCAAAGGCAGAGGTCGGCATCTTCTGCTTGCTTTGGTTCTTTTTCGCTATTATTTCTTTAGTAGCAGTTTTATCCTTGTGTTATTAGCTCTTTATCTCTTGGCATGGGAATTGCATGCATATTTGCAACTTGCATAGTTCGGGAAGATAGATAAATGGTCTTGTTGTTTGTGATTCATGCAGGTAATTGAAGAAGTGGCAAAGCTCGATTTGCTTCTCAAAGTTAAGAGGGGAAATAAGGAAGAAAAATTTAAGGTTGAAGTACATAAGAATGTTGAAGGTATCTTTCATTTGAATCTAATGGAGCAAGATCATTCATGAGTCATGACTCTCGGCACTACCCTAACATGTTAATATGTGTGGATTTATATAGACATCTGCTTTAGTGCTTTGTGAAACTTTAATCAGTACTGCCTATAGATGAAAGAACTGTGTATTGCTTGAATAATGCTTACATGCTACATAGATAAGAAATATAGCCTATTATAGATGTTGTCTTGGATGCTTCTTTTCTCTTGTTTTCAAATTTGAATATGCTGGGCATACATTTGGGCCTTATCTATCTGTAGCGCCTTAATGAGAGAGAATTGCAATTGCAACTGACCTATATGATTATGACCCCAATTTTGTCATTCGACAGTTGTGGTTCCTCTATGGTGCTTTGGTGCATACAACATGGGGGAACAACTTGGGCCTGGGGTTTTAGGTCCGCAGGCTGGCATGACCCAGCACGACTCATATATAATGTGTATATATATATATATTAATAAAAATTATAAAATAAAAAATTATTTTAAATTTTATTATACCAATTTATTTAATTATTGCATATATAAGCAATTGTATACATCAAAATTTATATAAAATTAAGATTTTAAGTTTTTTCAAAATTTTAAATAAATAGCTCTGGCCCAATCCATGGCCCATCCTAGCCCAAGGCTTGGCTCATGGGCCAGCCTAGCCCACGGCACGGCACGTGCTTGGGCCGTGGGATGTGCCGGGCCGACCCCCCAAGTTATCCTAGGGGAGGGCAACACAGCATAACTCGCACTTTACGTGGGCCCGACATGGCACGCTTTACACCTATAACCCTTATATTATTATTTTGAATTTTTTATTAATAAAAAAATGAATGAGAAAGAAATTTGTAACCAAACATGTTACAAATTTTACTCTCATTCTTGTCGTAAAAAAATCATTTTTTTGGGAAAAAAGCGTTTAATTCGTAGCAATATTTTATCATTCTTCCCATTTTTACTCATTTTTTTCCATCTTGGAATTTCATCTTAGATAAGAATGAGAAAGAATGAGAGTTGAGCCAAACATGGCCCTCTTTGACACAGAGAGAGCAAATTCCATCCTTAAAATCAAACTCCCCTAGCCTGGTACATTGATTTCTGATCGACTCGTTTGGACAATGACTCCACATGGAAATTTCACTACATCTTCAAGTCTGCTGCTCCTCCAAGATGCTCCGGGCCCATCAAATGCCAATTTTGGGGATGAAAACTTTAATTGGAAATACGTTTGGAGATTCAAACTTCTGCCACCCCGCATTATCCTCTTTCTTTGGAAATGCTTCCAAAACATTCTTCCTACTAGTGCTGTTCTTGCAAATCATCATGTCCAGGTGGATCGTGATTGCCCACTTTGCCATAGTTTTGAGGAATCAACTGAACATATCCTCTTCTATTGCCACCACACAAGACTGATTTGGTTTGGTTCCTCCCTAACATTAGAACTTGTTAGAGAATATCAATCTATTCAAGGACCTCAACTAATATCTTAAGCCTTCAAGTTGAATGGTTCTTTAAGATGGCATTAAAGCTACTTTGAGCAAATGATCTAGTGTTTAATCCTCATTACCCCATTATAATTAATTAAGTTTTAATATAAGGTATGGGTGGGCCTGTGCTTATTCATGCTTCAAGCCCAATGGGCCTGTGCTCAATGTAAATGCTATTGATGAGGATCACACAGGCGCATGCTCTTATCAACCATCTGCTGAATGAATCCACACTTAATGAACTCAAATTAAATAACCAGCCCAATAGCCCTCCAATCGTCTCAAGACTGTTGGTTTCCTCTATCTCCAGATTTTGTGAAAGTCAATGTTGATGGCGCTACATCTGGATCATGTGCAGACGTGGAGATTATCATTCGTGACCACAATGGCTACTTCATTGTTGCTAGATCCATTCCAACGGACCCAGTTCCACCCATTATGGTTGAAGCCATTGCTTTCTTCTTTGGCGCCCGTTTGCTAGATCATCTTGGAAGGCGACGCTCAATCAATAGTCAAGCTTCTGTTGGAGAATTCTTTTCCTTCATGGTGCATTAACACCATCATTGTGGACTGCAGAAGCTATTTGTCTCCCCTGAATCGTCCATATCAATAGGGGTGGCAATTTTCTCCGTCCCCAATGGGTGCCCGGGCTCCCCGACCCAACGGGGTTGGGTATGGGGTACTTTGGCAGGGTCGGGGTCGGGGATGGGGCTATCTCTGAATCCCCGATCGGGTTCGGTGACGGGGATGGGGAATGCAGTCCCCGCCCCGACCCGTCCCGACCCGTCCCCAATCAATAAATATATAATTATATGATATAACATTATATATTATTTATACAATATTTATATTACAATATTATAGTATCATATATTATATTATTAATTCATTTATTTAATTATTTTAAAGATTAAAACTTAAAAAACAAAAACACTCGACACTTAGAGGTTAGAGTCTTCAATAGACACAGACAAAGAACTCTGAACGGTGAACCCTAGTCAGTTTTCTTCTTCCTCAATCTTCATTGTTGACACATTGACCGCCGTCGCTATCGCCACTCGCCTGTCGGACGTCTATTGTCTCCGACTACCGGTTTACCACTTGAGTCTCGACAGAGGACAAAGATACTCAGAAAAAAGAACTGAAACTCAATCTCAGTCTCTCAAACTACCAGTCTATCATCGCCGACCACCATCACCATTGCCTATCAGACTCTCTCTCTCATCACCGGTCTCAATTCGCAACGATCATCTCTCTCTCTTTCTCTTTCTCTATCAGTCTCTCACACTTCTTTAATTTATCTCCATCGGTTCGGGAATGGAAGGGAATTTATTTCTCCAACGAGGATCAGAGATGGGGATGCGGGGTGATTTGGGGGTCGGGATTGGGAATGGAGAATGTAATCTCCGCACCGAACCCGCCCCGTTGCCATCAAAGAAATCATCCTACTACATGGACGTTATGCCCTCCCTTCCTTGAACAGGCTGTTAATCATGATTGTAAGACTGATCCGAAATTGTATTCTTAATGCAATGTTTATTTTGCATTAAAAAATCAATAATAATATCACTGATTTTGATGGATGTAGTTTTTTCATATTTTGGTAGGTGTAGTTGTCCTTGAGAATTCAAGGATCAACTAATTAATTGCTTGGTGCCGTTTTGCACAAGTAATCAGACTATTAGTAATTTTCTTGTGACCACTATGCAATTAAACATCGGAAATCATTACGTCAGTATGCTCTCTTTTTTCCATGCTCATTTTCTCATTCCTACGCCCCAACCATTTCCTAGTATAAATGTCATTTAATTGTGAGAAAATGAGAGAAAAGTAACCAAAGTAAAATAAAAATAACAAGAAAAAAAAAGAAAATAATTAAAATCTTCTTTTAGGAAAGATGGTATCAACTTTGTTTCCTCTTACTACCTTCAAAAGAAAGAAAAATAACTCTTTGCTTCCTCTCACTGTTTCCTTCTTTTTATCTATCTTTGCCCAAGGATTAAAACATCTGTATGCCTATATGCCTGATACCCAAACTCGGGTATTGATGTGTATAGATTCACCCTTTTTTTATTATTTATTATTTTATAGTGATAACTAAAGGAGTTAGGAAGAGAGTCTTGGATCATTTGCAATTTTTAAAAAATTCTATATATCAATATTTTTAAACGTATCTATGTACACTGATACCGATATAATCCTCCCATATCTATATTTTAACCCTTCACTTATTTTCTTGGTTTTAAAAATTGATCCGGAAATGAAATCGTTCTGGCCATCAGTTTCTGGGTTGATGGTTCAACCATCCGATTTGAATAGACGGTCTGTTCTAGAAAAAAAATTAAAAAAAAGTAATTAAAAATAAAAAATGGTCAAAACCATTGAATAAATCAAATGAATTATTGACTTATTCAACAGTTTTTGGTCAAAAACCGAATTTAGGATAAAATGAAACCAATTACTTGAATGATTCCGGGCCGAATAGTCCAACCATTCGGATCAGTGCCAGTTAAAAAACCATACTTTTTTTAGCTAAAAACGTATAAAAATAAACTTCAGAAAATATGTTCATTCTTTCCTTCCCTTTCCTTTGGAACCAGATGCAGTATAATAGTAAGCAAAAGTAGTACAAGGAATGCGTTGTAAGACTAAACAAAAGTACAAAAGTAGTACAAGGGCTGGTTAGTCCTCAAAGAAGACCGAAGTCTGAGTCAACCCTATCGATTAGGAGGATTAAATTGGACGTATGTGGTGATGAGGTGAAATATAAAAGCACAGAAGTAGAGGAATGATAGAAAGCAGACTAGCTGCCGAAGGAGGCCTGCAACAGACACCTGGACCCATGAAAATACACACTAGACAAGACAACCTTTGATGGGTCCCTGTTTGTCTGTGGCAGGGTTGCCTCGGCAGCCGAGCTGTCTGTTAGCATTTCACAAATGGTGTTCTATAAAATCTGGATTCCAAGAATCCATGAGCTGCTAGCTTTCTTTTCTTTTTCTGTTTCATCTTTGGAGAGAAGTGGGATCAGAAAAGGGATGAGGATGACTACTTCAATGGATGTGCTACAGGGTTTCATCTTCTTGTTCGTGGTTTTCTTGGCCACAGCAGTGTGGGTTCAGGGGCACCATGAAACAGGTATATGCACTATTCACAATCTTTCTTCATGCTTGTCCATTAACTGTTATATTCTTGTCCATGTGTAATTGAGTTCAAGTTGGACCCTTTTGATTGAACTGAGGGTCTGTTTGATTTGCAATTGGAATTGAAATGGAAATGGTTTATTTTCATAGTTTGTTTGATTCAGAAATGAAAATGAGAATTGAAATCATCCGGAATGAGATTTCATTTTTAAAGGAGGGACAGGGAATGACCATTCCCTCAAATGGAAGAATGAAAATGGATTCCAATTCCATCCAACCAAACAGTTGAAATCAGAATAACCTATTTCAATTCTAATTCCAGACCCTTATTCCCGGGTACCAAACAGGGCCTGATTCTAATGACAGCATATTTGGGCTTTCAAGGTTTTCAGCATACATCATTTATAAGCTTGTCTGTATGAGATCCACCTCACAGCTGCTGCGTGAAAACCTTCCCAAACAGGCTACTGCTACCACGGGAACATGAAATCTCTTGTTCCCCTGTGATAAAGTTGGAGCATAATAGTAGAATATATTCAGGGAACTTTGCGCTCCTGAATTCGCCAATCAGGAGCTCCAACCGTATGATCAAAGACTCACTACGTTTGATTATTAAGACTGGCTAGCAATAGGCCTTAGGGGACACATCAGCTGAAATGGTTGAATGATTTTAAGGGCTGAAGCCGAAGTTGGGTTCATTACCATATATCACCCCTTGTCACTCCCAAATTACGGGAAATGATCATCTAACACTTAAAATCGGAACCATGGAATTGTAAAATTTTTGAGGGAGAGTAGACCAAGGCCATATTTGGTTTGAAGGAAAAGATAGGGAAAAGAATGGAAAGATATCAAAACCTATATGTAAAGATTTCTTCGTCTTTCCTTTCATTTTCTTACTTTTTTTCCTTCAAACCAAATATAGCCTAAGAGATGGCGATTCAACTGACATGATAGAACCAGTGCATCACATGTATGGCATGGATCCGGGTCTCATGACTGAGTCATCTTTGATCATGTGAAGGAGTTGAACCACAGTTTTTAAAACTGGACCGGACCGGAAAACCGGGAACCGGTTCCGTTTTTCTTTAAAACCGTTTTTTCTCTCAAAATCGTTGATTTTGGTCAACAAACCACTGTACCGGCTGGTTAACCGTTCAAACTGTTCGAACGGTTTTGACCATTTTCCAATTTTTTTTATCAGAACGGGATGGCCATTCAGATCGAACGATTGGACCATTCGAACCGATAACCGGACCCCTGACCGGTTCAATCACCGGTTTATTTTTAAAAACCATGAGTTGAACACAATTTCATTGTACCCTACCATAACATACAAAAATGAGAGAGGGAATTGAGGGAAAGTTAAAAGCTTGTTTTGTTGGCGCTGTAAATTTGAATCAGTTACAAATTTTACACCTGATTCTTTTTTTTAGAACACCTGATTCAGTTTTGTATCGTACAAGGTTTGTACTTTTTGTCTTATTTGTACTTACGCAGTCCTACCTCAATTCTCTCTCACATAAAATGGGAACCACACTTCCAATCATAACCCTTATTCCATTTCCATTCTTTTTCATATAAAGTGGTGACCACTTCATTTTACATTCTATTTTACCTATCATAAGCAAATAAGATCTGTGAAGCAAAAGTAAACTGTAAACCAGAAGTTACACTCCCATGAATTTACCTTTTTGTGCAATAAAATTTGCATTGCAAACATATTGAAACTAAATATGTTGGTTAAGATTGTGACAAAAATTAATATATATATATATGTAGGTTATGTTTTATTGTAACATCCAAGGTTCAAAGTATTGATATGTATTGGCCTGGTGGCTTCTCGATATGCCCTTACAGGGGTTGTATCGGGTCATCCACTGGTTCAAAGGGTAGTCGAGCTTTAAACCGGCCCCTCTGAATTGATTTCGGAAAAAAATAAGTAAAATATAAAATCGGCCCATATTGATATTTAGAACCTTGGCAACACCCCCTATAATTGTAGCCAATTTACTTAATTGACATGTTAAGTTAAAAATGACTACATGACCATATTAATACACTGGAAAAAGTTTAAGGGCATAAGTCCACTTTTTTATTCCAAAATTACCCTCTAAAACTTCATATCAAGCTTCTAGAAAGAAATGAGGTTTGATTTTTAGATCTATCAAAAAATGTTTGACTTTAGTGGAATGAAGAAAAGAGAATAATGGCATTTAGGGTTCTTTGCCGGCAATGGCGGGTTTTCCTTCCTCAAACAGACAACAAATTTTATCGAATAGAGTTGTTGCCCACATTTTGAAGAACAAGAACGGCATTTACATTTTTATTTTCTATAGATTAAATTTGTTTGAAGGGATGTTAAGGTCAAAATGGTCATTTTCCATTTTCACATAATGGAAGATAGATTAAGGGCCTATTTGGCACGTCTTTTCGCGTGGACTTTCGATTGTTTGCAGGCCAGGAAAACCGATTTTCGGTCTATTTCCATTTGGTTCGCAGAAGATCTAGCCGCCAAAAGCTAGAGCGTTGAAAAGATGCGAGAAATCCATTTTGGGCTGATTTCAGGAAGCTCCAAATGAAGCTTTTCGCATCTTTTGCGTTTTATTCTCATGTGAAAAGACATAGAAAGATGCACAGAAAGACGTGCATCTGCCAAATTAGGTTCGGACTGCTCAGATCTTCATGCAAAAGTTCAATGCATCTTTTAACTATCAGAGCTACCGGAAGATCTTACCAAAAAGATGCGCCAAACGAGCCCCAAGTAAATTGGTTGTAAACATAAACTATAGGGTATACTTCAGTAAATTCACAAAACTATAAGGAGTATTTTAGTAAATGACAAAAAAACCAAGATTGTTTTTGGTTTGAAAGAAAAGGTAGGAAAACTCACAGAGTTTACTACCTTCAGTTTCAAACCAAATACAGCTTAAAATCCTTGGGCCCACCATGACTTCTTTTTTAATTTAATTTAGTGTTGGGTCCATATTAACACTTCTCCTATCTATGATTTTGAAAACCAGACCGGACCAAATGAGAGGATTGGCCGATCAGGAACCAATCATAGCTCCAGGTCTGATTGGACCATTTGACATGAGAACATGTGGTCAAAGTGATTCGATTTCTGGGTTGGTTTTTAAGGCCATGCTCTTATCTCTTTGTTGTAACACTCTAAAAATTTTCCTTCTTTGTGTATGTTTAAAACGTAAGAGAAAGTATGAGACATTGGGAATTCAATGGTCATTAATTGCTAAAGATGTTAAACACTCAATCATTAATAATTGAAAGACGTGGCTTGCCTATCCTTTTCTGATTGGACCATTCAATGGCGTGCCTGTCCTCCTAGGACGTGTCACTCACCCGATTGGGTAGTACCCTGCAACGGTCACCTGTGCAGCCCTGGCAAGTAACGACTGCGACAGAAGCCCAGTGGCGGTTATGCCCGACTTAATAAGAACGCCTATATAAGAGCTCCCTAGTTAAAGGGAAGCTCTCTCTCAAACATCAGAGATCCTATCTGAAAACTTACTTGCTCTCGAGCTAATCTTGAGAACTTAGTGATCCAACGCGACCTACACTCTTAGCCTCTTTACACTCTTTGCTTTCTCCCCCAGCGTTCTAACTTAAGCTTCGGAGTATTCTCGTTGGGCAAATCCCCCGGGAATCCTTCATCTTCTTCCTCTCAGGTGCTATCCGTTGCCAGCTAGGAGTGCCCAGATCGTGCCGCATCATTTGGCACCGTCTGTGGGAAATGCTTCAAAAAGCCTTCCTCTAAGCTTTTACAGTTTCATTTTCTGAAAACTCAGCATTCATGGCTTCCTCCAGCAATGCCGGACGTGGTGCCAGCCAGAACGCTTCTGGAGAGCAGCCCCAACTTCCTACTGTCTGTATTGGGCAGTTCACCGTCCCCCTCTCCGTGGACGGAGTCCCCAGTTTGAACGTGCCCCTCACTGTGGCACCCGCGGTCGCTCCACTCCCTTCCACAGCGGCCAACCCGAACCAGTTGGAGGACTTAATGCAGTGCATGCGGCCACGAAGCAGACCAAGCCCTCCCGCCGGAGCGAACAACTTCGCCGGGGAGAGGCCTCCCAGGCCCAGGATCCCGACAAGAGTCAAGCCTCTTCCCATAGCCAGAAGGAGAGACCAGCCACCCCCGCCTCACAGCCTGAGGGCAGGTCGGGGGCCTCCCAGCCAACCAAGCCCGTATCACCCCGGCCTTCGCGGTTTGAGCTCCCGCTCTCAGAGAATCCGTTCGAGGTTCTGGTCGTAGATTGTAGGCAGGGCCCTTCGATTCAGAGCTGCCACCAGCAGTCTGAGCCTGTCGAGCTCGGTGACACTGAAGCATCAAGCACCAACGCTGAGCCAGCAAAGCAGCAGCGAAGACGCCAGCGAGCTCGTTGAACTGCTACCCGAGTCTCTCCCGAGCTCAAAGGAAAAGAGGAGGTATGCTCAGGTGAAGTGAAAGCTACCCCTCTCCTCTCAGTTTCTTCCCCATTATCTCCAGAACTCCTTGCTGTGCCCATGCCAAGGGACTTCAAGCTCCCTCCACTGGACAAGTATGATGGATCCTTCGATCCAAATGATCACGTGGATGCCTTCCAGTCCCAGATGCACCTGGCAAGAGCCAGTGAATCCTGCATGTGCGTGGCCTTTTCCACCACCTTTAAAGGGGTAGCTCGCACATGGTACCGTAACCTCGCGCCTGGTTCGATAAGAAGCTGGGTGCAGTTCGTGCAAGTTTTCACCTCCCACTTTGTCACCAACAAAAGGTGCCTGAGAACTTAGGAAAGCCTCCTTGGCATAGTTCAAAAGGAAGGGGAATCCATTCAGAGTTACATCAAGCGGTTCAACGACGCTTGTTTACAGATACCCGACCTGGATCCCGCAGTTCACCTCACCGTAGCCAAGCGAGGTAGCACCCACAAAGAGTTCAAGTGGCATGTAGTTGTCAATCAACCCAAGACCGTGACCGAGTTCCTCAAGCTCATAGACCGGTTCATAGGGACGGAGGAGGAAATCTACCAAAAGGGCGAGCAGGCCCTTGACAAAAGGAAGAGGGAACTAGAGCCCCCATCTTAGGGAGACAGCAGGAAGAAGAATGACCAAGCTCGGGGGGCAAAGCCAAA